CATCCCCCTACTGAAATAAGTTTTTTTTATTTTTATAGTGCTTCATCATGTTGAAAGCGCTCAAAGCATTCAAAGTGCATGTGTGGATGTCCATCAAGGACAGGGTTGGTGCATATGCGTTCTTGGAAAACCAAGTTTGAGAGAAAATCAATTTACAGTACCATCACCTGGATATTTATCAGTAAAAAATCTGTAATGAAAACAAAACCTTGCCTAGATTGTAGGGATTGCTCTTAAGAGCTGGCACAGACATAATGGGCTGAATGGACTTCTTCAGTTCTACAAAATTGACCTGTGGGACATTGCTGTGCACAAATTGACTGCTGTGTTCACCTATAAAATACAGTCACTCACTTCACTGTAAATTTTGTGATGTGCTCCGAGATGTCAATTCTGACATGAACTGCTCAATCTCTGCCCCTTCAACACTATTCTTCTCCATCACCTCTCCTCTCAGCTCCATCTTTACGGTTCTGTCCTAACCTGGTTTCAATCTTACCTTTCCCATCCCACTTTGTGTCCGCTAACGCCTTCTCCTCCTGCCCTCGCACCATCTCATGTGGCATTCCTCAAACTTCTGACTCAGCGTTAATGCATTTCACTATTATCAATTGCTAAGACTAAAGGTAACTCGACTACAATAGATCGATCAGGAATGCCTTGCGTAACACAACTGAAATGTGAACTAGTGCAGCTCAAGCAGTATTTTTTTTAAATAAAGTGATTATTAAACATTTGAAACAAATTTTAATTATGCTGTTACTCCAGTGAAAGACTTAGCTTCGGTCAGATTAATTAGCCAAATTGCTTGCTCTAAGTCGTCTAGGCTAATGACCCGCTCTTTCCTCAAACTCTTTTCCACTGTTCTTCTTCAAATGCTTACCCAATTCTCAATTTAATTGTTATGGTTTCAACTTCAATAGCCACTTCATAGAATTGCACAGCACAGAAGGAGGCCATTTGACCCAGCGGGTCTGTGCTGGGTCTTTGAAAAGAGCTATCCAAATCAATTCCACTCCCCAGCTCTCTCCCCAATACTTCTTACAACGTATTCTGTGCTCTAATAACGCTCTGTGTGAAAGAGGTCTGCTAACCTACCTCTCAAATCCAGTGACAATCCTAATATATTAAATTCAAATATATAAAAGGCTTAGCAAATAATGAAGTTATATGTACAAATAGTAATGGTTCTAATTTGTTTTATACTTCAGAACAATTGTTCGGAAGCAGCACGGAAATATTTGGGGGAGAACTATCTGGGTGACCTTGTGAAAAAGATGTCCTATTTGGGTTATCATAATTGAAGAATGTTCAACATAAAAGCATATACCTTTTTCCTCAGGAAATTTGGAATAATTCATTCAGTAGGATAAGTTTTACAGGTCATCAGTTGTTCCATTGAGTATGCTTGCTGAAGCATTCTACCAATTACAAAAGGCATTGCTTGTCTGTAAGATGTTCCTTTGTCTTCAGTTTTAAAACCCACTCGCACTGAAAATGCTCAAGTGCTTTAATCAGTAACACATCAACTCACCAGACTTTTAATTATTAAAATAATGTAAGTATGGTTTACAAAATGAGCTGCATATCAGTTTCAAAAACAATGCAGCTGCATTCCTTGGAATAAAGATGTGGAAATTTAGATGCTACCAATATTTACAATTGTTTGGCTGATCTAGATGAAAACCAAGCTGTAAACGGTGCTTGTGCCTTGCTGCTTTCATTCTGTTTTGGATTTTAAAACCTTTATTCTCCAGAGCTGGAACATCTCCAGTACTGCCTTTGAGCCAAGCATTATGTAAGAAATTCCATCCTGCTCTCATTTCACTACTGTAACAGTTAGAAAAACAAAAATTGGGGAGGGAAGGTGGTCAATTGTGTTTCGACAGGGACTCACTGTTTGGAAAGGAACTAACATTCCTTTGACTTCTGATTATCTGAGTTTTCCTTGTCCAAACATTCTCGAGCTTCAATTCACTTCTGATTGTAAATCTCCAGGTAAAAGAGAGTGCTGATAAATTTCCAATTAACTTCAACTTACAATGAGAGTCCAAAATCCACCCTAAAATGAGCAATTTCTGCACTAGAAAAATGCCAAGAATGGTTTCATCAAAAGGTAGATAATGCTGGCCAGTCTAGCTCGTCAGTCTTGCTCCGGAAATAGCACTCTTGCCTTTGTGTCACAAGGTTTTGGGTTCAAGTTCTGAGCTATATTTCCCAACAAGGACAGCGACTGTGCGTTGTAGAGAATTATTTGTGAAGTGCTTTAACATTTCAACTTGATACAACGCTATCTTTCCTCTTTTTTTGCTGTCTAACAACATGGCATAAGGAAACACTCCATCACAGGGATGGTGGGGGAGAGGAACAGAGTTCAGAGAACAGGTAATCAGCTGAGGATTCTGGCTGTCACTAACAATTCACACGGTAAGTGATAATCTCTCAGTTCTGCTGACTGACAGCCTCACTGCGATATAGTCATGTGTCTGTGAGCAACTTTATTTTCTTCAGTTGAACGTCAACAAGGCCGAGGCTCTCCTGATTAGCTCCCGTCAACGCCTCTGCAACAGGCATTGACAGCACCACCATCCAAGGATGCACACTCCACCTCACTAAGCCAGTCCAGACCCTTTAGGTCTTGTTTGACCCTCACCTATCATTTCTACCCCACATCTGTGCCATGAGCTGCTCTGCCTTCCCCCACTTGCGCAACATCGCCCAACTCCGCAATTGTCTCACTCTGCACTGACAAAACCCTCATACATGCTTTCATTACATTGAGGCTTCACTATGTCAACTCCTTGTTTGTCGGCCTCCCCAACTCCTCCCTCCATAGGCTGCAGATCATCCAGAACTCTGCAGACCACGTCCTCACCAGGTTCTGTGAACCGATCGCCCCCATCCTCACCTAATTCCACTGGCTTCCCAACACACAGAGGATACAGTTCAAGATCCTGGTCGTAACCTTCAAAGCCCTCCATGATCTTGCTCCCCCCTACCTCTACAACCTCCTAAACTCTACCATCCTGCTCGCTCCCTCCGCTCAGCCTGCTTCACATCCTCCGCCGCACTCGCCCCACTATTGGCAGCCGGCCTTCTGCCACTCTGCCTCCACCCTCTGGAACTCCATCCCGCAGTCCCTCCACCTCATCCCCTCCCTTGCCTCCTTCGACCATGCTTTCGATCTCCCCACTTCCCCCCCGCCTTCCACCCTCCCCGATCCTGACCCCCAGCTCGGGTCCGAAACTCTGTCTGTCCAGCGCCTTGGGACATCCTCCTGACATGAAAGGCGCTATACAAATGTAATTTTGTTATTGTTGTTTATATGTTCAAATTCTCAACTTCAGAGGATATTGTAATATGTCATGACTATACTTGCAGGCGAAACACTGCAGCCAATTTGCACATACCAATGTCCCATAAACAATCATGAATGAAATGAACAATTTTATCTGGTGGGATTGTTGACCAGGACACTGAAAAAAGACTCCCTCTTTTTGAAGTGTGTTTAAAGTCCACCTAGACAGGATTTTATCTTAAATGCTCATCTGAAGAAGGACACCTCCAAAAATGCAACTGAGACTATCAGCTCTAAGACCCATTGTGATGTTTGAACCCACAACCTTCTGACTTGGAGGCGATAGACAGGCTATCAACTGAGCCAGGCTAGCACCTTGAGAGTAAACATACCTATACAAGTAATGAACATAGTGTGAAACTTCAGCAGTTATCTCTGAATGTTAATCAACACACACAAGCTTTCTATTAAAGAATAAAGTTAGTGTCCATCAGTGGAGTACAGTTAGTGTCCACCATTGGAGGGCGGGGGGGGAGGGGGAAGGAGGGTGCTCAAAGACATGGTTGAAGAGGAGGGTCTTGAGATGGGTGTTGAAGGAGGAAAGGGAGGGGGTGAGGCGGAGGGATTGTGGGATGGAGTTACAGAGGGTGGAGGCAGAGTGATTGAAGACCCGCCTGCCAATGGTGGGGCGGACGACATGAAGCAGGCTAGAGCCCGCTGATCGGAGGGAGCAGGCAGGTTAGTAGGGGGTTAAGTGGTTGCAGAGGTAGGGGGGAGCAAGGCCATGGAGGGCTTTGAAGGTGAGGACCAGGATCTTGAACTGTATCCTCTGTGTGATGAGAAGCTAATAGAGTTGGGCGAGGATGGGGGTGATAGGGTCATAGAGCCTGGTGCGGGAGAGGACAGAGAGTTCTGGATGATCTGCAGCCTACGGTGGGAAGAGTTGTGGAGGCCGACAAACAGGGAGTTTGCATAGTCAAACCTGGATATTATCAATGCGTGTATGAGGGTTTTGGCGGCCTGCGGTGTGAGACAGTGGCAGAGCCGATGTTGCGGAGGTGGGGGAAGGCAGAGCGGGTCAGGGCACGGATGTGGGGAAGAAAAGATAGTTGAGGGTCAAACAAGACCCCAAGGTTCCGGACTGGCTTAGTAAGGTGGAGCGTGCAACCATGGATGGTGATGCTGTCAGTGTCTGAGGTGAGGAGGCACGCACGGGAGCTAAGCAGGAGGGTTTCATCTTGTTGACGTCCAACTGTAGAAGGTTAGCTCTCATCCAGGACTTGATGTTTGACAGACATTCTGTCAGGACAACAGTGGTTCTGGAGTCAAAGGTGGAGGCATAGAGGTAGAGTTGGGTGTCACCTGCATACACCTGGTAGTTGACCCCATGTCTGCAGATAATGTCACCAAGAGGGAGCATATAGGTATTGAAGAGGAGGGAACCAAGGACAGAGCCCTGAGAAACGCTGCATGAGACGATGCAAGAGCTAGAGGAGAAACCGTTTTCTCCCTTCCCGATCCCGACCCCCAACTAGAGTCCAAAACATTGATTGTCCAGTGCCTTTGGACGTCCTCCCAATGTGAAAAGTGCTATACAAATGTAATTTTGTTGCTGTTTTGTCAATGGGAGAAACAACTGCACTTTTAATACCATTCTAAAATGTCATCTTAAACACTATTATACAAGACGAATAATACGCACCTCCTTTGTTTCCATTCTCTTCATCCTGGAAAAAAGCAGAAATTAACAGTAGGTTACTTTGTGGTTTTTATAATAGAACAAAATTTCAGTGCATACAGGAGACTTAATATTTTTGTTAATACATTAGATGGGAGATCAAGCAGACATTCTAATGTGCATTACAACAGAGTTGCTGCTTCCCACAGTGAGGTCCCGATCTTGGTTATATTAACTGAGGAAGATAATAAATAGATGCTACACTTTGGATAGTGATGGGGTGGGGGATGGAGAAATTACAAGAAACATCCCTGGGTTGCAGGCATCTTCACAACTGGTCAAGGTTTAGAAGCAGAATACCCCACTGTCTCACCTTCAGTTAGAATTGCATTCAGCAAACACTAAGAAATGATGGTGGGAGAGAGTGGTGGAGGAGATGGGGGCAGGAGAGAATCATTTCTCGATCATCCAAAATGCCTCCATCCAAAACTGAAAACCTTTTCAATGTTACCCTCTTTCAAAATACAAAGCAATTTACATTATCTCGTGCCTTTCATGTTGGGAGTTTTTACTTGCACTTGAGCACTCGACAATGCTGGTTAGGCATCCGACTGAGGGTGGGAGCCGCGGGGGGTGGGGAGGGAAAAGACAAAATGAAATATTTGCTTTCAATCTTTCGGAAAGAGAGAGAATCAAAGGTCTGGGGGGGGGGGGGGGGGGGTGACTAAAACATTAACTTACAATATTTATCTAATGAGAAGATTTTACCGCTGTTCCTCAGTGTTCGGAGTGAAAATAGGTTTGGAAAAATAAACACAATTTTACTGTTGGTAGAAAACTGGCTGACTAAACCGAGTTTAATGGTTTGGCAACCAACTAATGACACAATTACAATACTGTTGTTCAGTTTTGAAAACAGAGTATTAGCAGAAGTGTAAATGGAACAATTAACAGTATACACAAACTCAGCCTTCAGAAAAATATCAAAAATGTAACTATGAATTGGACAATTTCAAAGAGAGAAAAACTTACCAATCCAACCTTCCCTCAAAGACTTTTGAGGAAGTGAAATCTTAAATTGACATTAAAATGTCCATTTTGTGTCAAATTAACACTTGATATAATGTAACTAAATTCTAAAAGGCCTTTGATGAAGTATCAGAAGAGTCCCTGATAAACAATGTCACTGGGTACAAAGAGTAAGATATGGTCTTGGGATTCGTGACTAGCTAAATCAAAGAAGGTAGAGGATAGTCATAAGAGGAACAGGATTAAAAGGAGGTACTAAGTGGTATTCCGCAAGAGGTCTATGCTACAGTTTCTTATGTTGCTAGTATGTATAAATTATGGATTCTAAAGATCTTACAGTGCGCGCAAAATGGAATACCCCCGAGCTGATTGCTGACTAATGAAGCTCAATGTAAAATGGGCACAGTTTAAGAGGTAAAAATAAGAATTCCATGTACTAGTTGAGATACATGGAGGGCTTTCACCTACATAGCCCTCCAAGGCCTCACGCCACCCTACCTCTGCAACCTCCTAACCCCCTACCAACGCGCCCGCTCCCGTCGCTCAGCCGGCTCCGGCCTGCTCCACGTCCCCCGTCCCACCATTGGCGGGAGAGCCTTCAGCCACTCTGCCCCCAACCTCTGGAATTCCATCCCTCAGTCACTCTACCTCACCCCCTCCTTAGCCTCCTTCAAGTCCCGCCTCAAGACCCTCCTCTTTGACCATGTCATCGGCCACCCCCTTTCCCCTCCCTTCTCCCCCACTGACCCCAGCTCGGGTCTGAAATGCTATACACTGTCCAGCGCCTTGGGACGTCCTCCCGACGTGAAAGGAGCTATACAAATGTAACCTTATTGTTGTTGTTGATGATAGTGCTGGCCAAGAGGAAAGTTGAAAGAGACCTAGAGGGCATTTGTTAACTCTCACTCATCATGTGTAAATAGTGTAATCAATAAATCAACTGACGAGAGGGAGCTTAGTAACTGGAGGCTGAACTCACACTGAAAAAGATAGCAGACATCCACAGTAGGTATTCTGCTACTTTCTTCAACCTTCACATGTACAAAAAAGCGAATAACTAAAACATGTACATTTCTGGATCTAAACCAGGCCTCATCAGAGAAAAGGGTTCCAAAAGTGATATGATCAGAAACAGAGCATACATGGGCTCAAGCCCCACATCAGGACTTAAAACTCATATCGTCTAAGATGACACAGCAATGCAGTGCTGAGGATGTGCTGCAACAACAAGATTACATTTAAATAGCGCCTGGGAGGACATCGCAAGGCGCTGGATAGAGGACAGTATTTCAGACCCGAGCTGGGGTCAGGGGGGGAGAAGGGCGGGGAGCGGAAGAGGGGTGGCCGATGGTATGGTTGAAGAGGAGGGTTTTGAGGTGGGACGTGAAGGAAGCTAAGGAGGGGGCGAAGCGGAGTCACTGGAGGATGGAATTCCAGAGGTTGGGGGCAGAGTGGCTGAAGGCTCTCCCGCCAATGGTGGGGCGGGTGAGTCGGGGGACATGGAGCAGGCCAGAGCCGGCTGAGCGGAGGGAACAGGCGGGTTGGTAGAGGGTTAGGAGGTCGCAGAGGTAGGGTGGGGCGAGGCCATGGAAGGCTTTGTAGGTGAGGACCAGGATCTTGAACTAGTTCCTCTGAAGGATAGGGAGTCGGGTGAGAATGGGGGAGATGGGGTCACGGAGTTTGGTGCAGGAGAGGACACGGGCTGCAGAGTTCTGGATTATGTGCAGCCTGTGGAGGGAGGAGTTGGGAAGGCCGATAAGCGAGGCGTTTGCATTGTTACAGGTGCTTTTCTTTGGACGAGACGTTAAAATGAGGACCCGTTTGCCTGTTCAGGTGGATGTTAAAGACCCCATAGCATTATTTGAAAGGAGAATGGGGTTTCTAACAGTGTCCTGGACAACAATTTCTCAAAATAAAATCTTCATGATTGGTTGTGGTACATTCCTGTGCACAAAATGGCTGCTATAGTTTTCCACAAAATACATGCTGTGTTTACCCACAATATACTGTCACTGTACTTTACAGTATATCCTGTGAAGTGCTTTGGGATGTCCTCCCGATAGTAAAAGGCACTATACCAAATGTAAGGATTATTATTAGGCCCTACCAGTCTGCGTCAATGTTTACACTCAAACTGAGTCCCCATGTCTCCTATTGCCCTCACCTATACTCCTCCATTCCCTTCTCCCTCATTTATCCTGAAAGATCAAAATGAATGCTAAAAGGTAAAGCTGAAGGCTAACGAAAAAACAGAATGGGGGGGGTGGGGAAGGGAGCTGTCCAATAAATCGGCTCTTGAAATCACTTATTTAAAAACATCTCTAAGCTAATAATAATCCTTGCATTTGATATAGCGCTTTTCACGTCTTCTAGACGTCTCAAAGCACTTCAAAGCTGTGAACATTGGACAAAGGTTCCCATTGTAATGGGTACTACTCTAGAAATACTGTTGTGATTGGGGACTTTTTTTTGGCAAGTTTTTCCACTGCTTGTCAGCAGGACCACCCTACATATTAGGGTAGTGGTTGGGATTGAGTGGGAAGAGTCCCTGCTCCCCAGTGACTGGTCAGCCACACTGCTCTTTTCAGTGTAAAGCGCAGGGATTTCAACAACGAGGGTTGGCTTGATTCTGACTTTCCGTTGCCAAACATGTCTGTTTGGAGCCAATTCAGCTCCAAGGAGATACTATTTACCTCCACCCCCCACTCCACCCCCACCGAGGATAGTCAATGACTGGTCATTTCACATCTCGCAAATACAGGCTTGAGCCCTCATTAGGTGGATGACATATACCAGAAACTATCTGCAAGCTTCCTGGTGGGTAACATAGCTCAGCATGAAATACGTGGATCACTGCCATCTGCCCACAGCTCCGACACACATCCCTTTCCATTGAGTGATAGTTCCACCACTTGGAAGGTATGAAAATGGTCAGTCTGACTAAGGAAGGTACTGAATCTCATTATGGATATCCTATGTATATATTCCCACAGCTAATTTATGGATTTAAATAGATCTTGAGCTTCTAATAACCATCAAACCTACCATCTATTAGCTTTAAGTGAATACTATTATTTATACGCCTTTGTTTACCTAGCAGTAAGTGGGAACTTTGTTGTTATTCGATTGGCCAATCGCTTTTCCGGGGGTAATAATCCCTTCAAAAAAAATTAGTCACTCAATCCACAATTGTTTGTGGGACATCTCTGCACTATTGGTACAATTTTGTCCACAAAATACACAATCAATTCACTTTGCTGTATAGTCTGAAATGTTTTGAGATGTTTCAACGATGTGATAAGGCGCTGTATCAAATGCAAGGATGATTATTATTAGTATTATTATACAAATCTGTGTCATCCACTCAACGGTTAGACAGATCCTGAAGCTTTTTTCCACCCAAATGTTGGATTATAATGCAATAAAATTAAAAAAGAAAATTGTTCAAGACTTATGATGTTCAAATTGTTGATTCCCACTACTTTTGACTCTTACCTTTACACTGGTATGCACAACTGACTCTGGGGGATAGACAATGAAATGTCTTAGTGTAAATCCAAAACCCTGTGAAGTGCGTCGTAGAGAAATAGTCTTCGGTCCTGGCCATGAGAAAACATCATCCTGCATTGGTGAGGTGTTCTCACTGTGTCCCCTTCCATCTGTCTTACTTTTTCTCTGTGAAAAATAGAATTGAGAATTTCAGTTACGAATCTGTACTCTGCTGCGTCTGCGAGATAGTTTTTTTTTTAAATCTACAAGCAAATCTTTTTTAGAATCGCTTCATTATTGAACACAACTTTTTTTTTCTCACTCTTTTCCACCACCCAAGGTATAAAAACAAGTTTTTGTTTAGAGAAATAAGAGGAATTTATTTACTAGTACAAAGTGAGCAAAAAATAGTGTCCAGGATCAAATTTTTAAATGGAGTGGGACCAAACCAACGGTACCCAAATTCAAATAAGAACAAGGTTAAAAACACATATACTATCTGCACTGTTTTCATATGCACAATACGGCTGGTCCCAATTAATGCAGATGTCAGGCTCTTTACTGTACATTAATTAGCTGCAAAATATGATTTGAACAGACTGGTTCATTTCATGTATTTTGATTTATTATACCTGAGACAATTTGATATCATAGATTGTAAATCATGATCATTATTAAGCAATTAAACTTGATGTAAATGAGTTATAATAATCCTTGAAATGAGTTACTACAACAACAACTTGCAATTATATAGAGCCGATCCACACAGAGTAGTGGCTCAGAATGCCACTAAGGTGATGCATCTTGAGCAATGCTAAAAATGAAATGTTACAGTAAAATTGATAAAAGATCTCAGAGGTGATGCTCAGTAGCCACATATATTTCAATATACATTGGGTTATATGCACAGTTATTAAAATCCCAGTGGTAATAACAGTAAAACTGATTAGATCTTCTATGCGGTGCTCGATATCCATAACATTTCAATACACATTGGATTAAATTGCACACTTATCAAAATCCTAGAGGCAATCCTATTGTACATGGGGTCCAAATTTTAATTTATTATACAAAAGTATGTACTCAACTTATTAAATCATATTAAAGAATGGCGCATTCACCATATTATAAAATTCTTCAAAATGTCGAGAAATTTAGACCTTGGCAAGGATGAAGATGTGTAAATTTATTCTCTGCTAAATTTGCACACCTTCTGAGAATCATCCCTCTAGCATTTTAACACCAGCACCAATAGACACATTTGACGGACATCCTACTGGTTTTTGATACCTGCCCCTGTGACAGCTTCTAAATTATTTATATTAACTGTTGTCAGTTTAGGAAATGCCAATCTCCTATGGTTTATTTCAGGGTGGTCCAACTGGCAGTCCAGGGGCCAATTTCATTCACTCCCCACATCCATTTCATCTGGCCCACCCGTCCCTCCATGACCCAAAAGTGTTATGTTTCATAAAGGGAAACACAAAAAATGTTGCTTATGCACATTTCTCAAATAGGGTATCCGGAAAGGTTGAACCACTCTGGTTTATTTTATATTTCTGTTGGAAGAACACAAGCACCAATTATAGTATTTTAATGAATAAAATAACTTTGTTTGGCTTAATCCATGCACTGACATGATTCTTCAATCCAATTTCTTGCTACAGAAATATGCATGCATACACACACACACACACACACACACAGGTATACACTTCAATATCGCACGGGTAAATAGTAATTATAACAGAAGACATCCAAAACAATCAATTTATTTTCCGTCAGAATTACTCATTCAAAATGTATCAAGTAATGCCATAAATGTGCTCAAAATGACAACGGTTTAGAAATAAATCAGTTAGTCTGTCAAATGTTTGGATTTTCTTGGACAAAAACCTAAGATCTACAAAAAATTTAGTTACTACTAAAACCAGGCATCCTAAACTGAGAAGACCGTGATAAATTACTTGCATCCTTACAATATTTGTGTGGAAATAAAAAGCTAAATTTCTTTTAACTGAATCAGCTCAACTTCCACCATTTTAGTAACACACTTCCTCCATCTTAGTAACATGATACAAAACCGTACTGTACTACTATAAAGGTCAGTGAAGTTTTGATGCATTAGGCCCATGTGCTAAAGAGTAAACAAATTACAAAATGATGATTTTAATAAGAAACTATTTGATGACTCAGATTACTAATATTGAAATAGAATGTGATATTCTGATTGGATTATACTGACATTTTGATCCAATTAGATTCACATAAAGTAATAAGGAATGTAAGGTCCACGTTAACAGATTAATAATGCCTGAAAGATTGCCAGGACAACATTCTCTAAATTTTAATGGACCACATACCTGGTCAAACTTTCTTCAGAACCGGAGAGAAACTGTCTGATGACCCTAGTCATAATTAGAAACTCATAATAATTTGTCTTACAGGCAGTTTAACCTAAAAATTTGACTCAGCAAATACAAATACAAGGGAATATTATTTTCACCTAACCATGCTAAAAAAGTCTCCAAATCAAACTGCTAAGATTTTCATACATGCGCGGTTTCCATTTGTGAGATCCCTCGCTAAAGGTACGCACATTGCTTATTTAATCCCAGAAAATGTAGGTGCAGGTAGGCAAACTAAGATTACCATTGAGGACAGCAGTACATTTCCCACTGCTTTTCAAGCTATTAGGATTTGCAATGTTAATAGACACCAAATGGAAGGAATCCCGGTCCTCAGCAACAGGTCGCTTTCTTCAGCTCTTTGACCAATGAGCCAAACTGGCTGGTCCATCACCAACAGTGTCTTATCTGGCACAGACACTGGTTTACCAAGACTGCCAAATCAAGTTTAATATGTCAATCTTCCATTGCCAAGGTGAGTCACCTTGGAGCCAAGTCAGCACATAAGAGACCCTGTTTATCTTCCCCCAACCCCCAAGGAAGATTGTCAGATATCTAATAATCAGCTTGTGACTAAGTACAAGTTTGAGCTCCATTTAGGTGGATTAAAGGTACCAGGAACTCCTCGCGGCAGCGCAACTCGGCATATTCCAACCCATTAAGTAGTGGTTCTACAATTTAGAGGTTCAAAGCTTCAGTAGCAGCTACTTACCTCTCTGCAGACCAATCAAGGCAGATAGCAAGCCATGGATACCTAACCCTGAGTTCACAATTCTAGGTTCCAGGTTAACACTTCCCAGCAGCTCTTGTCCCAAGCCTCAGCATTTCCTCACTAACTATTCAATACGCATCTGCCTTCAGGATTGTGGAAGGACCTTGTTACATTCCAGCCATCTTAGTGTTCAGTACAAAGTTTGCATGTCATTAACTGCTTACATCGAGTCTTCATGTAAACGGTTTTGGCAAAGAGATGCTGGGCGTGAAACAGATTCCACCTCTAGGGTAATGAGCAACAGGTCAGTGTGGATGAGAACCCATCCTCGCTGCAAACACTTTCCCCTTTTAACCACAAATCCAGCTCACTGCTAGGTCCTGAACCTCATAAATGGTCTTGAGGAAACCAATTACATTCCCAGAAGCTCCAAAACATAAAGGAGAATTGTTTGGACGCACGTTCCATACACCATAAACTTAAAACTACATTGGGACTTTATTATTCAAGAAAGATGGGAATAATCAGAATGTCCATCACTCCTTCTCAGCACAGTCCCAAAGGCCAATATCCAAGCAAAATATTATGTCCACGTAGTACCACAACCCCAATTACTTTTACGAAACAATTGAGATGGATGGATTATATCTTCCAATTGAGATCTTCAATGTTTACTCTCAAGCCATGCAGAGCCATAATACCGCTCTTGGGGACACCTAATGACATGGATCACTAAATGGTCCAATGTGAAGCGCCCAAGATCACCAGGGCAAGTCCCAAGATCACTTAGAGCATTGACCTCAAACAGAGCATTTCAATTTGACCGTAAATGCTTGGAACAGATACATGAAACTCGTCCCTCTAAATACCAATGGTGAGGATAACCCTGCCTCACCCCCGTCCAACATTTGTACCAGCTCAGAAGGAATAACGGATAATCTAATAACAGATTTGATTAACCAATGAAAAGGATTGGCTGTTGCTTACATAATGAAGATCACCTGAAATTCTCTCTGTTCACATGATGTTTACACAACTCGAATAATAGCCCCCCATTTTCCAGAAAGTCCAAAGAGGCCACTCTTTCAGTTGCAAATCCTAATCTAGAAAAATTTGTGCAGCAACCACTTTCTTAATGGTTATCTGAACTAACGTGAAAATAAAAGAAGTTACAAATAAAAAAATAGCTTGCCACAAATTCTTCCTTCCTTCCAAAAGTCATAACTATTGCTGCTGGTTTCAGTTAAGCAGAAATTCCTTTCATTTGTTCCCAATTCTACAGGGTTCAGCATGATTTCAAAGCAGATGTACTCAAACTAAGTGCTGAAAGCGTGATCTTTTCCACTTTCGCAGCAGACATCAATTTCAACTGAGCCAACCACCACATAATAGGAATCTCTGACCACCAATAGGTTTGGGCCAATAGTACCACAAAAATACAAGCTATTTGTATTTAACAGCTGCTTAGCTTTACAAACTGGCGGTCAATCCTGCGTTGTTTTGTTAGCTAATACTGGTTCGCATTGATCAGACTGACGTTCCAACATTAAGATCATAAAATCAAGATCAATATTTATCACATAATCCCAAAGAGAAGATATCGGAGTATTTCCAATGCAATCTCAGCAACTTGAACATGTCAACAGTCATGTCATCATTTGTTCCGTGCTCGCATCTGGACAGAGCTGAATATGAAGAGTGGGGCGAGGTACAGACTCCTTGGCATAAAGTCACAGAAGCAGCTGCTGCAATATATCAGTTACAACCTGTGGCTTTATGTCATCGACTCGTATATTCAGAGAGTATTATACTGCAAATTTTATCTTGCAGAACAAAATTATTTAATTGATATGCTCCTCGATAAACACAATGTGTGAATTTTAATTGCAAACATAACCTTTAACTCAATTTAATTGAAGTGACTCTGTAGTAAAGAATTTGTGGATGCTGTGGAATCACCCAGTTTACAATGCACAGGAATAACATTTGTTTCAAGTGTCGCCACTTGAAACAATTGTGAATTTCTGGTTGTTTCCAAGTCACGGACCACAACCTTTTTTGGCTGC